TGTCTGGTGATTTTTCTCATGCTTACATGGGACAGAAAACTATAAGGTAGTTACTGTCAACATGACTTTTCACTGTTGATGTTGACCTTGATTACCTGGCTGAGGTAGTATTTGTGAGGTGTCTGCTGTGAAGTTTCTCTTTTTTCTCTCTTCCATACTTTATTCTGTAAGAAGGTCACTCTGCTCGTCCCATACACAAGAGGTGGGCAGTTAAGCTCCACCTCCTTGAGGGGGGAACAAATACATAAATTATTTGGAATTCTTCTGTACAGAATATTTCTTCTCTCCCAGTTGTTAATTTATTTAATCATTTCTATCAGTATGGACTCATGCATATTTATTTTATATTTGGGGCTATACTCCAGTACTAGTTTATTTCGTTGCTCAAATTATTCCAGCTATGGCCATAGGGAGGAGCTCTTTCAGTTGACTACTCTGTCCCTTTGACATGCCCCCATCACTGTGGTGTTTTGAGCACTTGGCTTTTTGGCACCCAAAGGTGCTCCAAGCTCAGCATGTACATTTTCCACCCAGGCCTAGAATCAGCCTGGTTTATCTTATTAGAGAATGGAATTGGAAGCCAAGACCTAGATGTAGCAGGGCTTTTTGCTTCTGGGGTGTCCATACTTCTAGGCCCTCTCAGCAGGCAGCACTAGGAAATACATATATGTGTACTAAGCCTTATATACACATACCTAACATCATAACATAGATAACAGTGTCTAGTCATCCGTATCTCTGTTAAAGTTAAACATAGTCATACTGTGGTCTCCAATTCTCAGTGAGGACCATGTGGTTCATTCTAGGGTTTTCTCATTTATTTGTTTGTTCCCACTGTACATATACAGTACTTTCAGAAGAGTTAGCCCATGCAAACCAACTTTACCACCTAGAGCGGTGGTTCTCAACCTTCCTAATGCCGCAACCCTTTAATACAGTTCATGTTGTGATCCCCAATCATAAAATTATTTTCGTTGCTGCTTCATAACTGTAATTTTGCTACTGTTATGAATAGTAATGTAAATATATGATATGCAGGATGTATTTTCATTGTTATAAATTGAACATAATTAAAGCATAGTGATTAATCACAAAAACAATATGTAATTATATATGTGTTTTCCGGTGGTCTTAGGCGACCCCTGTGAAAGGGTCGTTCAACCCCCAAAGGGGTCGCGACCCACAGGTTGAGAACCGCTGACCTAGAGTATTGTGTTCAGATCCACTTCCTTTCATCTCTAGGCTTATATTTCAAGTTAAAACACCTTTCTCCAAGGTTATTTAAGTTGGCTTCTTTCCCCCCTTCTCTTCAGTGAAGTTTTGCCATGTGTTGATCTTCAGACAAGGGTCTAGTCTGTCAAATGTCATCTCCTCCCAGCCAGAAGCTACCTGTGACCCAGAGAATGTTTTTAGACTTTGAGCATTCAGCTGTCCCATCCACTGGTTGGGATGTGCAACTCTCTACCATGCATTTGCTTGTCCTGCCTCCCTCTGGTTTTAAAAAATATATTTTTATTGCTTACAGGAGAGGAAGGGAGAGGGAGAGAGAGAGAGAGAAACCTCAGTGATGAGAGTGAAGTATTGATTGGCTGCCTCCTACACGCCCCACACTGGGGATCAAGCCCACAACCCAGTCATATACCTTGACCAGGAATCGAACCATGACGTCTTGGTTCATAGGTTGACGCTCAATCACTGAGCTATGCCTGCTGGGTTCCATCTTTATTCTTTGTCTTATTGGGCAGGAGCCTTCAGTGGCTGTCATTTTTATTTATTTTTTTTTTAAATATATTTTATTGATTTTTTTTACAGAGAGGAAGGGAGAGGGATAGAGAGTTAGAAACATCAATGAGAGAGAAACATCTATCAGGTGCCTCCTGCACACATCCTACTGGGGATGTGCCCGCAACCAAGGTATATGCCCTTGACCGGAATCGAACCAGGGACCCTTCAGTCCGCAGGCTGACGCTCTACCCACTGAGCCAAACTGGCTAGGGCTGTCATTTTTATTTTGAGGTGGCATAAAGATACAGGTGGTGTCTCCCGTACTCCAAGGTTCCATAGCATGATCTAGCATGGTTCTGAACCTGAAACAAAGCACCATGAGTCTGTGCATTTTTCCTGGTAACAGGTTTATAGACTATAGCTTATTCCCACAGATGGTTGTGACCCATAGTGATGACAGAGAACTGGTCTCTAAGGTCCAACTTCTGGGTTCAGCCTTCTCTGGTCGACCAACTCTAATCCAGGCCGACCCAGGCTTCTCACTGTCCCTGTACCTGCCGCCACACTTGTGTGTCCCTGATCCTCCCTCCCCCGGCACCTTCCCTCACTTGCCCCCATTGGAGACCATCAGTTACTCTGCCAGCTCTGAGCGCCACGACCACACTGGCCTCACTTCCCAGTGGACATTGGTATGAACAGTGAGCTATTGTTGACTGAACTAGAACCTGACTGTTCCTTCCTTGTTTCCGTTAGAACGCTGTCAAACTGGGCTTACGAATTTGACAAATGGGCTCCCTCCGTGGTGAAGGTGTCCTACAAGGTATGTCGCAGCCTGTAGAGTGGACATCGGTGAGAGCAGGGTAGGAGAGTAAGGAATACAGATAGTGAATAGGGAAGTCAACTTGCATTAATAATGAGGCATATGTGCGCATTTTCCTATGTTGTACACTTGGGATCGTGGTGTTAATGCAGGTTTGGGGTCACTTGTTTTGGGGGGTAATGTTTATTTCTTATCAGTTCACCCTGTGAAGTGGGGACTTAATTGTACTTGTTTTCCTGGTGGGGAAACTGAGGCAGACAGGGCCTCATGCAGCCACTTAGTTGCAGAGCCAGGTTATGTCTGGTCACTAGGCTCCAGGGACCAGGCTTTTCACCCTGTGCTGTGAGGCTCTCTGCTCATGCTGGGGAGAGGGGTCTTGGCAGAAGGGACAGCATGTGTGGAGGAAACGGTACGTTTGAGGAGTTAAAAGTATTTCTGGCAAAAGCTTACGGGACCCAGTGGCAATCAGTCTGTGTGGAATGTGAACCTGAAGAACTCTGGGGTTCTGGTCATATGGTTCAGGAGTTTGGACCTGGGAGCAGGACTGGGCAGGTTTGCTAATTGCAAATAGGCTGGAGCTTCTGTCAGGAAATGACCAGTGCTCGAGTGGGGGGTTTTAAGGAGGATGCAGGAGTTTGGACCTGGGAGCAGGACTGGGCAGGTTTGCTCATTGCAAATAGGCTGGAGCTTCTGTCAGGAAATGATCTCAGTGCCCAGTGCTCGAGTGGGAGGTTTTAAGGAGGATGCCCTGGTGTTCAGCTTGGAAGCCTGAGGGGGACCCAGGAAGAGGTGGGGAGCAGATTTGCCATTGGGACTCAGGCAGATGGTGGTGCAGACAGCAAGCCTCCCAGAGAACCCACAAGCCTTTCTCCGCCCCTTGCATTTGGCACTCAGCACATTGCGGTTGGAGAACAGGAGCCAGCAGCTCACCTAATTCTTCTCCCCTGGAGGCTGATGTGTGCATGTCTTCTCTTCTTCACAGGGCTCTCCAGCAGCCAGACGGGCTTTCGTCCCCCAGCTCCGGAGTGGCAAGTTCAATGTCTTGCTAACAACGTACGAGTACATCATTAAAGACAAGCACATCCTTGCGAAGGTAGCGTGTCCTCATGTAAAACACCAGCCCTAAGCACTCAGTGCTATCAGGGAGCATGTGATCCAGCCCGATCCAGGATTGTTATGAATGTGAACACTTAACATCTTCTCAAAGCCCCTTGCAAGTAATTTTTCACTGATTCCCCTGCACATGTGTATAAAGATAGCTGCTGTGTATATGCAAGGTCCCTGTCAAGGTGACCTTGGGTTTGCCTCTTTCTTCCCAGGCTAGCCTGGGGTTAGATCCAGAGATGGGGTCGCCTACATAGCACGTGTGCTAGCTTCTCCTGGGGCTTTTCCCAAAGAGTCTGGTCACACAAGATGCCTCCTGACCCACCTGTCTTCCTGCAGTGTCCTGATAGGGTCATGGAGAAGTCAGCCTTGTCTTTACCTGTCTCCAGCGACCTTAGCCCCCCCCCCACCCCCACTGCTGACTGTGCCTCCCCCAGCATAGTCTTGGGAAAACAGCCCATGATGCTCTCTGAGGCCCTGTGTGGCCCGTCAGCCTTGGGCTGCTGGGCTGGCAAATTCGGTGGGGGCTGTACAGGCTTCTTAGCTGACGTAGTTGTGAAGGTGGCTCTGGTTAGGCCATACTGAATTACTGAGAACATAGTGATATAAAACAGACACCATCCCTTGTTTCCTGGTTTGAGGAGAGGTCGAGGCTGAAGATGATGCATCTGGTCTCACCTCTAACCATTCAATAGAGTGAAGTAGAGGGTAGAGTCTTTGACCCAAGATGGAGATGTTTACAAGTTACCACACCTCAGGGACTTGGTCAGAATGATGATATCGGGTGCTTAATAGGCATCTCTGAGCCTACAGATGAGGAGAGAGAGGCCCAGAGAGCAGATGTACATTGTGTGGTCACCCTCTGACTCAGTACAAAGTTATCTGTGCTTACCTGACAGTGGCTTTAATTAGCAAACACTCTGCAACAGAATTTCCTCGTGGGAGAAGGCTGTTGTGCCCTTACACCAGCCAGATCTGACATACTCTGCGTCACGCAGGCCTCACTCACTCTGTGTCCCCAAGAGGCTAAAGTTCAGGACGGCCACACACTGATATAGTCAATGTCTGGCCCCTATCCATCAGATGTGTAGCCACGGACAGGTTCTAGAGCACAGCCCCAGCCCCCAGGCTCATACTCAGAACCTGCCTGAGCCTCTCTACCTTTAAAGGCACAGCCTGCTGATTGGAAAATGTACTCATTACCTCACTGAGGCCCCTGTAGATGCACCTCTCCCCCGCATTGGACTGCTCTGATCAGTGAGGGGAGGTGCTGTTTGACGATTTTTCTGTGCTACAGACTAGCATATGTATATGTAATTTTGGGAAGGAAACCAGACTACTTTCTACAACTTGCTTTGTTCATCCAACAGTATAGTTCACGGGCATGTCTCCTTGTCTGTCCGTGCGTACCCCATTCTTTATAGAGGCATGTTGTGTGGCTTTCTCTCGGTGAGCTGGTCCCTTGTCAGGGGACATTGTCATGCCTCAATGAGCTCTTCCACATGGAGCCCTCTTGCCTAATGGCTGTGAGAGTATTGCTCACCTGGGGGCAGCCCTGCTGCCTCTCCTCTAAACGCCTGCTCTTGGGCCTGCAGATCCGCTGGAAGTACATGATCGTGGATGAAGGCCACCGCATGAAGAACCACCACTGCAAGCTGACTCAGGTCCTCAACACGCACTACGTGGCTCCCCGCCGCCTTCTGCTGACAGGCACGCCACTGCAGAACAAGCTCCCTGAGCTCTGGGCACTCCTCAATTTCCTGCTGCCCACCATCTTCAAGAGCTGCAGCACCTTTGAGCAGTGGTTCAATGCGCCCTTTGCCATGACTGGAGAAAAGGTGGGTGTGCGCAGCCAGCCCTGTGGTGGTGAGATGGGGCAGGGAACTGTGGTTGTGGGCCACCCTCAGAGGAGCTGGGTGTGCATTGAGTGCCCACCACAACGGGCTGGGACTGTGGTAGGTGTCAGGGTCCTAGCGAAGAGCAGTGATTGAGGAGGTTAACTCTGGGGAGACACTTGGGGCTTCTTTGACCCTGTGCCCCAGACACAGAGAGGGCACAGTGAGGAATATGGCCTTGAGGGAGCTGTGGGGCCAGAGCAAGGGTGTGAAGGGGCAGTTATAGGACCTGAGGGGCCTGTTGGTCCCTTTAAGGATTTACCCTAAGGGCAGTGGGAAGCCCAAAAGTTTTTAGTCACAGGAGTAACATCATATTCTGTGTATTTTATTTTTAATTTTATTTTTCTTTATTTCAGAGAGGAAGGGGGAGAGAGAGAGATAGAAACATCAATGATGAGAGAATCATTGATCAGCTGCCTCCTGCACCCGCGCCCCCCCCTCCTCCCCACTGGGCGTGGCCAGCCCACAACCCAGGCATGTGCCCCTGACCAGAATCAAACCTGGGACCCTTCAGTCCACAGGCCAACTCTCTATCCACTGAGCCAAACCAGCTAGAGCTGTGTATTTTATTTTTAAAGAGCTCTATGGCCGGTGGATCTCAAGGCCTAAATGGCCATGGGTGGCATTGCAGACTGAAAACCAGACTGTGGCATCTGGGCTGAAAGGGGCTAGGTCCTCATCACTTGATGAACTCCTCAAGCAGACTCCAGAATGAGCTGCTATGCTATTGGGGTTTAAACTGTGTTTTGGGGCCAGCTGCATTTCTGTTGAAGGCAGTTAAGCCGCCAGAACCTGGCAACTGAGGAAGTAGGTACAACTGCAGCGGGTAATGAGCGTCACTGCCCTCTAGTTCCCGATTATGAGGTTTTCCTGAGACAGGTGCAGGACAGCTGGGGCCACCACACCATGTGTGCAGAGGGGCCTCTGCCAGCATCATCTGTGAGGTACCCCTCCTTGACACCAGCTTAGGCTGAAGCCATTCTGAAGGAGAAACAGACCTTTCCAAGAGTACCAGGACCCCCATCCAATAACTGAGAAGCAAATGCTCTAGTTTCCTTTATTTTCAAGTTGAGCAAAAGCTTTGCCAAGAGATTTTTTAGGGGACCCACAGAAGAAAAGTTCAGGTGTTACTTTATTTTTAACCTTTTTATTTATTTATTTTTTTTGGTAAAGTATGTCGTTCGTTGTTTTAATTTCTTTTAGAGAAAGGAATGGAAAGAGAGACAGACACGCACGTGCACAAGCGCGCGCGCACACACACACACACACATACATACACACACACAAATCAATAGACTGGGGATCAAACCCACAACCTGGGCATGTGCCCTGACCAGGAATTGAACCTGCCACCCTTTGGTGTACAGGATGATGCTCCAACCCAGTCACACCTGCCATGGCTTATTTTTCACTTTTTAAAATTTTTTTTTAATCTTTTATCAAGAGTAGCAGTCACCCTGGGAGACCAGTATTTCTTTCCCTCCATCCCATCCCAGCTGAAATGAGAGTGGATATGGGGTTCTCAGTGGTAGAGCCCTCCATGAGAAGCACTTGGTTTACACCAAATACTTTATGAATGTGGCCCCCATCGTTCCACTTAGCTTTCATTTAGATGTGCTGGCGGGGAAACAGCACTGTATGCTGCTATGTTTCTCTCTCTTTTTTTCTTTTTAAATATATTTTATTGATTCTTTACAGAGAGGAAGGGAGAGGGATAGAGAGTTAGAAACATCAATGAGAGAGAAACATTGATCAGCTGCCTCCTGCACACTCCCCACTGGGTATGTGCCTGCAACCAAGGTACATGCCCTTGACCAGAATTGAACCTGGGACCTCTAAGTCCGCAGGCCGACGCTCTGTCCACTGAGCCAAACCGGTTAGGGCTATGTTTCTCTTTATAAGGCCTGTGGAACATGGTGCCCTGGGGTCCTTGGTTCCACATCCTGGCATTTCTAGGGAAGGGCTCAGATCCTCTCTGTTTTCCCTTTCTGTTTTGCCAAACCCCATAAAACAGAAGGCAGTCTGTGAAGGCAGGGCAGGGCACAGGGTGACTCCAGATGTCCCCCCTTTGGAAGTAACACTCAGTTTCCATTTCTCGTGGCATGCCAGGTGGACTTAAACGAGGAGGAGACCATCCTCATCATTCGTCGCCTCCACAAAGTGCTACGGCCCTTCCTGCTCCGGCGGCTCAAGAAGGAGGTTGAAGCTCAGTTGCCTGAAAAGGTACCATGAGGATTTTAAGTAGAAGAAACCACAGTGCAGAGCTTCCCTAGGGTGGGCCTGGCCAGGTGGCTTTCCTGTTGTCCCTGGCCTGTGGTCTCATGGTCCTGGCCTTGCCCTGTCATTCTGGAGTAAATCCATCCCAGGGATGGCTGCTCACCCCCTCCAGATCACTAAAGTGGAAGGCAGGACTGGTAGGTTAGAGTACAGAATCCCACCTGTTGTCAGTGGGTCAGATGCTTGGGCAGGTCCTGCCCAACTATGTCACAAGCTCAGCTTGGGACCATGGGCTCTCAGGGCTGCTCCCCAATCTTGAAATGGCCCTGAATTCTTGCTCAGGGAACCAGTACCACAGTGGGCCCCAAGGGCTCCCTTTCCTTTCCCCCGGCAGGGCTGGGGTTCCTGGCCAGTTACCCCTCTAGTCATACTTGGAGAGGCCTTTAGAAGGTGGCCACATGTGTCCCCAACAGAGAGGCAGCCCATCTCTTTCCCCAGAGTTCCAGGGGCTGGCTCTTATTAGGCTGCTGTGAGCCACATGCCCATCTCTCCACTGCCCAGGTGGCTGTGGAGCTATCACTGATCGGGCCTGAAGCTGGAATCAGTCTTCGTTCTTGCTGGAACCTTGAGCACTGAGAGTGGGAAAGAAAGGGAGCGAGCAGATGCCGTAGGGGCAAGAGCAGTCCAGGACTCCCCCTCCATGTTTCTCTGTCCTGGTGCATCACTTCCCTCATGTCCCCAGCTGTTGGGGCCCTTTCACCATCACCCCTGTGTGCCTTGATCAGAGCACACATCCCAGGGCCCAGGATGCTGCCAAGAGATAGATGCACTCAGGTGGGGGATTAGGCTCAGGACCCCTGGCCCCCCCCGATGGCGCTGTGTGTCCCTTACAGGTGGAGTACGTCATCAAGTGCGACATGTCTGCTCTGCAACGTGTGTTGTACCGGCACATGCAGGCCAAGGGTGTGTTGCTGACCGATGGCTCTGAGAAGGACAAGAAGGTTTGCCCAGGCCCCACTTCCCCACCTAAGTATCCAAGGCGGGTGGATTCGGGGCAGCCAGGTGTGTGGGGTTGTGCACACTGTAACCCGCAGGTCTCCCACCTTCTTGGAGCTTATTGTTGTGGTCTAGGCCCCATGAAGTGGTGATCCCGAGGGCATTGCAGAGCTATTGTTTAAGTCATGGCTGGTGTCAATGGGCTCAGTCAGTAAGGCTGCGGGCGCAGAGGCTCATGGGCCAGTTCTGGGGCACACTTAGGGCCCCAAGAGCCTCCCAAGTCAGATGTTGTCTGATGTCCTTTTTGTTTATGAAATGTTAGCCTCCATGGGTGTGACAGTGGCAGCACAGGGCCCAGCACTAATTCCCGCAGAATTAGAATGTTTTAGTGAGCCCCACCTTCCCATCTGGGAAAAAGCTGCCCCAACAGCCATGAACACTTAGCCCTTTCACCTTTTTAGCAAGTGACATTGGGCAGGGGGGTGGTGTTACAGTGGAGAGGAGTGGGAGCTGGGCTGGCTGCTGACTTCTGGGATTTCTCTGAGGTCCCAGTGCCCCCCTACCCCATCCTTTACCTGAACTGAAATTATCATCCCGGGTCTCTTGATTCAACACCCAGTACCTCAAGCTTAGCCCTACCTCCCCATTTCCTCCTCTAGATGTTTTGTTAGGGCCCTTTTGTACCTGAGCTATGGCAGCAGCGTTTTTACAGGTTTACTTCTGTCCCACGGCACCCACTTACTCCTGAATCCTTCCTTCACCCTGTAGCCAGCAATCTTCCTAAGTTATGACCCATCCGGCTGCAGCCCCCAGAGACTTGCCACAAGAATGAGGCTGGCTTCAAAAAGCGTTTGTGACTCAGCCTTAGCTGTCACTCTTATTTCCCTTCCTTCCCACCTTCCATCCCTCCAGTGCGCCGGGTAGTCTCTGCTCCCCCCAGAGCTGGTTTCAAGCCTCTGAGTTTCCACAGGAGCCAGTTCTTCACTCCTCATTTCTCTGCCACAAGCCATACCTGCCCCTAAAGCTTCTCCTTCCACAATCCTCTTTCCACCACCCATCCCTCCCCATCCTGGGACAAGGCCTGACGTGGGACTCTTCTCTTCCTCTGCAGGGCAAAGGCGGCACCAAGACCCTGATGAACACCATCATGCAGCTGAGGAAGATCTGCAACCACCCGTACATGTTCCAGCACATCGAGGTGAGGCCCCCCCTCTTGGTGCTGCCCTGAGCACCCATCACCGGGGATAGCCGGCGCCACTGATCCCATAGGCAGAGCTAGATTGCTTCTCCTTGATAACTTAAAAAAAAAATAGTTTATAATATTTTAAATAGACAATGCCTGTACATTTATCTCTGTTGATTTGCTGTTTGCAAGTGCTTATGGGAAAGAATCAAAACAGTGTAGAAAAAATGTGATAGAAATGGAAGTCCTTGAAAGCCCACCCTATGATAACCACAGATTATTAGGAAACTCCTCTCTGGGTCATTTTTCACCTTGTGGGGTCACACTGCCTCTGTTCATTGATGCACTAGCATTTCCCATTCAGTGACATGTGGGGCCATCCTGGGTCATTGCATCGACTCAGAGCAGCTTTCCTCTTCAGGAAGTCTCCGGGTCATACCGTTTTGGGCCACGGTGCCCTTTAAGAATTTGGATTCTTGTTTCTGAAAAGCACACACATACATGTTTGTGTTTTGGCGTAATGTTTTTGGGTTGTTGGAATACCTCTGGTGCCCCTAGGATTCTGTTTCCGCAATCCCAGGGTGGTCTCCGGTGCACACTCCCCTTGTGTGCTCATTTTGGTGGTTGAGTGTTATATCATGACTACCTTTCCTTCATTGGAAAAACACGGGGAAGGGGCATACACGGGTAGGATAGAAGAGGTGTAGTTGACATCTGTGGCTTCAGAGCCACTGTGGGCAGGCACTGAGCACTGGGGTGAGGGGTCAGAGGCATGGTGCTGGGCAGCACTTTTCTGCCCGTCCCCCTGTCCCCCCATTGAATTGTCTCTCATTCCATTGCAGGAGTCCTTTTCCGAGCACCTGGGATTTACCGGTGGCATCGTCCAAGGGTGAGAAGCTTCCCTGCTGTATGGGGTGGGCAGGCGGGCCATGTGGTGGTGTTTCTCACATGTTTTGTTGGTTCTGTTGCTATTGTTACATTGGTTTGGTTTCAAAGGCATTAAGTTCATGACCGAAAGTTTAGAAAAAGTAGACAAATTCAAGGAAGAAAATAAATCCTCCACACGAGAGTTGTCCACCATTAATCCCAAAAGGCAGAATTCCTAAGGTTGAACCTGGTTTCCAGGCCCCACTCTGCCACCTCCCCCAAGGCTCTCTGAATGTTACCAGCTTTCTTCACCATTCTGAGCCTTAACTCTGCCTGCCAACAGGGAGATCCTCCATATGGTGTGCTGCCCACCTTGCCATGGGTGTGCTTTCCCTGGCATTGTTTATAACCTTCAGCCCAGGCTTCATTAAGCCCTGGTGTTCGATGTGGAAGCTGCATCTAGATTTCACCATTGCCAGCAGCCTTGCTAACACCATCATTTCTCTGGGATACTAAGCCACTTCCAAGAGTAGAGGCACTACATCAAAAAGTAAAACATTCTTCTGAGTTGTCCTTTTTTATTCCGAATTGCTTAGTGGGCTCCCACAGATGTGGGTTTGAGTCCTGGACCAGGCACTGCAGCAACCGTGTTACGCTGTCCCCAGCTTCGGTTTCCACATCTGGTAAACTAGGGGTAGTAGATTGCAGTGACTGAGAGGAGCTGCAGTGACCATTAGCCCTGTGTGTGGCTCAGTGTGGGCACTCTACAGTGTGAGCTATGGCTTCTGGTTCTTTAACAAAATGGAGACGTTGCAGAGTTACTAATAGCGTCTCTTCTCACAAGTATCCAAGTTGGATGATGATTACATGGCCACCCTTGACCAAGGATGGCCTGAGTGTGTTTTAGTTGGGTTGAAATGGCTTTGCTGAATCTTTATGGGGTTAGGGGATCTGCCTAGGAAGTCACTTGTGTGCCCTCACCCCTGATGACCAGCCCGTGTAGGCTGGCTCAGTTCAGCCTGGAGACGGGACCGTGCCTCCTCCTTTGCCCACCTACTATGTGCCATTGTTAACATTGTGTGTATTCTTCCCTCCTCCCTCCACTCACCAGGCTGGACCTGTACCGAGCCTCAGGGAAATTCGAGCTCCTCGATAGAATTTTGCCCAAACTTCGTGCCACCAACCATAAAGTGCTACTCTTCTGTCAGATGACCTCCCTCATGACGATCATGGAAGATTATTTTGCGTATCGTGGCTTTAAATACCTCAGGCTCGATGGTGAGTCTGACCAAGAGAGACATTTGTTAAGGGGTCTCTTTATCCACTGCTGGCAGAGCTTCTGGCCAATGTGCCCTCCCTTGCAAGGCAGGACGAGGTCCGAGCCCCTAGGTGTCCCAGCAGGAGTGAGTGTAGCAGCACGCTCAGTGACACAGGCTCTCAGGGCTACAGGGAGGGCTGTATTCTCCTCCTGTGGGCACAGCTGAGCCAGGGTTCAGGTGATGCTGGAGGGGCTTTCCTGGGCTCTTGGTGCCTTTGTCCTTGACATACTCTCCAGGTGCCCTTCTGCCTGCGCAGTGTCCCCAACAGAGAGTTCCAGGGGCTGGCCCTCATTAGCTGCTGTGAGCCACATGCCCATCTCCACTGCCCAGGTGTCAGTGCCACTCTCACTGATCAGGCCTGGAGCTGAAACCAGGCTTGTTCCTGCTCAAACCATGAGCACTGAGTGGGAAAGAGAGGAGGGAACTGGATGCTGCAGGGGTAAGAGTAGCAAGACCCTGGGAACTGCTTGGCTGTGACCCTGCACTCTCATAGGGAGGCCAGTGTTCCTGCCTTTACCCCACCACACGGGAGCCTGGGGCAGGAGTGGACTGAGTGAGATGCTGACAACATGCAGTCCCCATCCTCTGTCAGATGGCAAGAATCAATGGTGTTCATGAGAAAAATGAACTTGAGTGCCATTGGGGTGAACATGGTTAAGGTAGTTTCTTCATTCCCCGCACAACTCAGAATCTTTATCTAAGCCTATTGCCAAGTCCATCTCCATGGTCAGATGCCCCAAACGTCTGTATCGCTGTGTTGTCTTTCACTCTGCATCTTGTGGTTTCACAGACCACGGACTGGTGGTTGCTGGGCTGATTATCGGTCCCAGAACCTGCCCTGAATCTTGCCTTCCTCAGCCCATTCTTGGACTTTTGTCCAGGGCAACCTTTAAAAACACAAATCTGATCATGGGTCTCACCTTACTCTCTCTCTGTGCCTTGGCCTCTCCAGCTGCTCCATCCTCTGGGAGGGCCCGTTCTTTTCTGTGTCACCATCCCAACCCTCCAAAGGACAGGCTGTACAGTATTTGGAAAGCGTGTTTTCACCCACCTCAGTGCCCGTCCACCTACCCTTTTTCCCTCCTTTCTTCCATGACGAGTTATTTCCATAAGGATGAGGATTTTGTGGGTTAAGCATGATTCATCCCTAGTACTTCTCACGGACACTGCCAAACGGATAGAAACTAGTAAAGAATGGAGGAAGGGGGCTCAGTGACACATTATATAAAAATAGAGCCTTCCACCATCAGAGTGGTAAGAGTAAGGGTGCAGGTCAGGCACCTGGGGAGGTGGCCCCTCCTCCTGGCCCTGTCCCTGCCCCACTTGAGGCCTCAGCCCCTCCTTAGATCTGTTGTAGCTGTGGGCACATCTGGAGGGCAGCGGGCCTTTGCACTGTTCATTGGGACCTGTAGGTGAGTGGCAGGAAGTGTTTAATTTTTGTTTCATCACCAAAAATGACTCCTGAATTTGCCAAGGTACCTCTGCTCTGAGCTGGCAGCAATAGCATCGTGAGTACTTACATGCCTCTCTGGTACTCATGATGCTGAGGATCTTGTCCTGGGCCAACACCTGAGAGTCCCTGTAACTCTTAGAAGCCTGTCCTGCCCAAAGGGAAATGAGCCGCTGAAATAAGACACCTGTGTGCTTGCATGTAGGCGATTCTCTCTGAACCAAGAAATCTCATTGCAGTAGGTTTGAGGGCAGACTCTTGGCCTCTGATCAGTTGCTGGGGAGCCCTTGTTGCCTGGGTGTTTTCTGGGCTTCAGCCCCCACCTGGTCTAGTTCTTGCAGCATCCCTGTTTTATACGGAGGAGGCGCAGCCATCTTCATGGGGCTCATTCTTTCCTTCTGGGATGGGGAGAGTGGCTTTTAGTGGTGTCACATGTAGGTGCAGTCTCTGTTCTCCAAAGCACATGTTCCTCTGTGTCTCTCTTTGCTACTGCCTATCTCCCCCTCAGTCACCCCACTAACCCTGTTGGCCTTGTACCTGGCAGGAACCACAAAAGCGGAGGATCGGGGCATGCTGCTGAAAACCTTCAATGAGCCCGGCTCCGAGTATTTCATCTTCCTGCTCAGCACCCGGGCCGGGGGGCTCGGCCTGAACCTCCAGTCAGCTGACACTGTGATCATTTTTGACAGTGACTGGAACCCCCACCAGGTAAAAGCCCCTGGTGCCCTGGGTGGAGAAGCTTGAGGCTCAGGGAGAGCCTCATGAACGCCACTAGCCTCCTTGAAATCTCCCAGGCCCGGGAGCAGCACCTACAGTGCTTGATGCTTTTGGAGAGAAGCCCAGATTATATTCATTCCCCTCTGTTTCTCAAACCAAAAATAGCTTTTTGTTCTGATATGACAAAAATATATTCCATTGTTACATATATAAAAAGAAGCCTGGCCCTAGCTGGTCTGGCTCAGTGGATAGAGTGTCAGTCTGCGGACTGAAGGGTCCCAGGTTCGATTCCGGTCAAGGGGACATGCCTGGGTTGCGGGCTCGATCCCCAGGTGGGCGTGCAGGAGGCAGCCAATCAGTGATTCTCTTTCATCATTGATGTTCCTATCTCTCTGTCCCTCTCCCTTCTCTGAAATCAATTTAAAAAAAAAAAATTCTGGTATTAACACACATGTGGACAGAAAATGGAAAAGGCCCCACTCCTATCAGCTGGCAGTAATCGTTGCTGTTTTATGATGGATGTCCTAGGCCGTTTGCTTTTGTAAACAAAACCTGGGTCATCTTTTATGCACTTTGTGTACTGCTGCTCTGTTTCTTACCTGTATACATTCCATGGGGACACGTGCCAGTAGGTGCAAAGATGTGATTTTAGAGATACAATAGTTTTAAAATATTTAACTTTTTCTTAACTTTAAAAATGGAAAATATCAATAACTCAAAGTTAATGTAGAGTCCATTTTTCCCCTTCCCCACCCATCCTGCTCTTCTCTGAGTGTATGCCAGCATCTAATATGTGTGTTCTGTTTTTCACAAAAATATAGCATTTTCCAGGACATGTCCCTTCCCTTTAGCTGCTGGGGTGTTTCATCTCTGTGTGAGCATTAATCAGCTGCTGGCCGTCCCAGCTTACAGTGGCTCTCAGACTTTTAACTCAAAGTCCAGTTATCAGACATCTGGGTTCTGGTGTTTGGCGTGACCACTAGCCCCCTCAGCGAGCCCTATTATTGCACTCTCAGAGCACCAGCCAGGTCAACCTTGAGAGGTGGGATTGCTTGGTTCATGGGTATGTCCCCTTCATGATATAGTTGCTTCTGCCCAAGTGGCCTCCAGAAGGCTTCCAGGTTTCTTTCCCACTGATGGCATGTGAGTATACTCTTACCACAGCCTGGTGGCACCCATTATCAGTGTGTAAATGATAGCCCATCTGATGGACGAATACCCTGGGTGTTTGCTAGCATCCCTTTCTACTGTCAGCTTGGGGACTAGTTCCTGCCTGGACTTTGACAACTGGCCAGTTTCCCAGGAGGTGGTTGGGGTGTGCCTCTACTGTCAGCAAGCAGGCAGCAGGCAGCAGGCAGCAGGCAGAAGCTCCTGTGGAGCCCTGTCCTTCCTCTGTCACACTGGGCAGTATCAGAGGCCACTAAGCTCACTGCAGGGATTGGGAGCTGCCATCGAGTGCTGGCCCTGCCAGGAAGCATGCTGGCCAAGCCAGGGCACCCAGCAGTGGAGAGAGGACACTCCTGTCTCCAAGCAGGTGTGACCTCTGTGTCCCCCATTAGGTACTAATTTTGAGTTCAGCCCCAAACAGCCCCAGCCCCCTGGCACAATATTTCGTGGGATCCCTCCTGGTTCTGTGCTGGGGGTGATGATCGAAATTGAGTTGGCAGTCACGGCTATGACTTTATCAGAGCTTGTTCCACACCAGGCACTGGACTGAGCACTCAATGCCCATTCGCTCCTCTCAGGTACACAATAGCCAGGAGAGTGGCTCGCGTGAACAGAGTGAGACCTGAGGTTCAGAGAGGTTGAGCTCGGGCCTGGTTGCACAGTAAGGAAGTACTAGGGTCCACAACGAAAGTAGGCATCGCCAACATGCTATCCAGCTTTGCCCCCATCCTGTTAATGGTACCATGATACAGTCACGCTGAGCACAGGGCCCTCCTGGGGTAGGCAAGAGGACCCATGCATTTGCGATAGGAGCTGCTTGGGATATAACCACCCAGGGGTTGTCCTCCCAAACTGTGCTATCTTCTTGAGTATTTCTCAAGTTTCACTAAGAAAGTGACACTTCTGCAGGAACTCAGGATGAAATCTTCCTGGCACAGGCTCCCGATCCTGTACCTGAACTCCCAGCCAGGCGGCTCCTGGTTGGGACTAGCAGAATGGCCAGGCAAGAGGCAGGCACAAAATAATCAAAAGACCCCACCTCTCCCAATGGCTTTGCAAGGTCAAACACCCCCTTAAAACTCTAAAGTGCTTGCTCGGGACTGACCAGTGTTTCTTCCTCAGGACCTGCAAGCGCAGGACCGAGCCCACCGCATTGGGCAGCAAAACGAGGTGCGGGTGCTCCGCCTCTGCACAGTCAATAGTGTGGAGGAGAAGATTCTGGCTGCGGCCAAGTACAAGCTCAACGTCGATCAGAAGGTGATCCAGGCTGGCATGTTTGACCAGAAGTCCTCCAGCCATGAGAGGCGTGCCTTCCTGCAGGCCATCCTGGAGCATGAGGAGCAGGACGAGGTGAGGGCAGCACCGGCCCCCACCCCTTCCCCAGCGTGAGTGGTGAATGCATGAGTGGCTTTCATTTTTGTTTTTTTACCTTTTTTGCACTCTTTTTTTTTTCTTTTTTCTTTTTTTGCATCCCTTTGGAGTAAAGGGAGTGTGGGCTGAAAGGAAAGAGGATGAGTACTTGCTTTTTCTTTGAAGTGGTTTTTTTTTTTTCTAAACTGCTGGTGAAAGACGCTGGATTGACAGCCCTGGAGACTGAAGTCCTCTATTTATCCACAGAGCAGACACTGCAGCACGGGCAGCGGCAGTGCCAGCTTCGCCCACACTGCCCCTCCGCCAGCGGGCGTCAACCCCGACTTGGAGGAGCCACCTCTAAAGGTGAGAGGGGTAGTTCAGTCTCCATGCCCATTCAATCCTCGGCTTCTCGGCTGAGATGGCCAGCAAGGGCCCTGATCCCACGGAGCGTGCGTGTGCGTGTGTGTGTGTGCCTCTCGCTGCTGTGTGGGTCGCCATCCACTGCAGCCGGACTGGGACCACCAGCTCATTTCCCATGGATGCCGCCGCTCGCCTCCGAGCCCGGCCACCGCCCATCCTGGCCTCTCCACCCTTGAACTAATGATGGGAAATCTTGTAGGAAGAAGATGAAGTGCCCGACGATGAAACTGTGAATCAGATGATTGCCCGGCACGAAGAGGAGTTTGATCTATTCATGGTAAGCACCACAGGCGGGAGTTGAGGTGGCATTTCCGCCTCACACACCTTTAGGGAGCTCAATTTTCTACCCATTTGAAACTGGGAGCCTGGAGGGGTTCACATGCCCTGCCCTGATGACTTCAAACAGAGCAAAAACTCTCAGTGATGTTGGAGTCCCTGGGTGATAATGGAGCTAGGGGTGGCCCCACAATGCCTCTTAATTGACCCATCTTTCTTCCATGTCCTAAGAGTGTCAGGGGGGTAGTGGACACACACCTAGCCATCCTTCTCATTTGTGACCCTCAGTACCTGTGCTCTTGAATTTGTTGAGGCTCTGTCTAAAGCCAAGGGTCTGGTGAACACCTTGGCCACCAATACCTCATGCTTCTGGATGAGAAGTATGGTATTAGTTTGGGCTCTTGGCCCCAGCAGGCTTTGTGCCTCCTGCAAGACTATACTTTGAAGCTGTCACCCCATTTCGGCTCCCTGATGCAATTCGTCAGTCCTTCCCAGTTTTCTCTGTCCCTAAAGCAGAGCCCCTAGCCAGGGCCTGAAATAGGAGCCAGGCCACCTTGGCCTTAGCAATACCCAGAGCTGCTGTTTGACTGCTGCTGGGGCATTGGTCCCCGAGGCCAAGAAGCAGCCCCTTATCAACATCCCTTGAATGTTCTCCTGGCTCTCCCTGTGCTGATGCCTCTCCTTGTCCACACCCTCTCCTTGCTCCCCAGCGCATGGATCTGGACCGCAGGCGTGAGGAAGCCCGCAACCCCAAGCGGAAGCCACGCCTGATGGAGGAGGATGAGCTCCCCTCCTGGATCATCAAGGACGATGCGGAGGTGGAGCGGCTGACCTGCGAGGAAGAAGAAGAGAAGATGTTTGGCCGTGGTTCCCGCCACCGCAAGGAGGTGGACTACAGTGACTCACTGACGGAGAAGCAGTGGCTCAAGGTATATGCCAGAGATGGCCGGCGAGGAGCAGGGCTGGGGGAGGAGAGGCTCACACCACGATAGCTCAGCCTTTGTTCAAAACCTGAGCGTGTTTCTTTCAGCCGTTCTTGGCTTTCATTCACGGCAGCAACACGTCTAACATAGGGTCAGGTTTGCTCAATTCCTCCCGACCAGAGACAGGAAAGAGCACCAGTGCCATCCCCAAGCAGTTCAAAACTCACTGCTGTATGTAATTGGCCTCTTCCGTGTGAGGGTTCACCTCTTCATGAGGTTAGAGTAAAACATTGCCGATCTCAGCATGGTGCAGGTCTCCTGAGCGCCGGTCTATAGGAAACACAGCCAGAGATTAGTGAACAATCAGTTGCTCTGCCAGCTGCTCACAAATGCTGATGGGGTCAGGTAGCCCCGCTTTGGACACATCACCCCAAAAGTACGTCACCTTAGGACCTGGACTCCTAGCCAGGCTGGGGAGGAAGGAGAAGGAAGTGAGCTGCCGATGAGACTGCAACCACAGTTACTAATAGAGGTGATGTCAACACTCGTTTTCAGCAGGTAGCACCCAGCACTGTAGCTATAGTTGCAGAATGCTGAGTCAGGGCCCCAGCCCAGGGCCCACTGCATGGACACTGGGATTGTAGTGATAAATCAGACCCCCCCCCCCATGTTTGGGGGCTCTGAGTGCAGAGGTAATGATTAAAAAATCCAACCTGGAAGTTGTTTCACAAAAATGTCCCTGAAGCAACTCTTCCCAGAAGGTTGGTGATGGCTTTTGCTGCACCCTGCTGAGTGCCACATCCCAGAATGAGAGGTGCTGCCTCTGATCGTACACCCTAGGGTTCCCTTGGGTTAACTGGGACCCGGTCCCTGCCTACGAGCTCAGATAACCCCAGACTTGGAAACTCACCCACTGAGATATGCATGAGAGGGGCCGTTGAAACATGCCAGGGAACCAGGCAAACCTTTGTGAGGGGTGGGTGTAGTGTCCTGTTTTCTGGCCCAGGGCTCCGGGGCCAAGAAGAAAACTCCTGATGAGGGAACTTAGGCCCAGTTACAGATCTGTATCAGCTTCCATGGAGCATTACCACCCCCACATTTTTGAGACACTGAGTGCCTTTTGCCATATGCTACTAATGTTTTATATACATTTTTTGAAGGTGTAATTTATATGCTGCAAAATTCACCCATTTAAGATGTACAAGTCAATGGTTTTTACTATATTATCAGTCTTGAAATTGTCATCACAAACCAATTTTAGAACATTCTCATCATCCCAAAAAAGAAGCCCTTTCCTCTTTAGCTATCTTCCTTCCCTTTATTCCCCCTTGCCCTTGACAGTCACCCTATTCTGGACATTACATAGAAATAGCATCATGCAACATGTGATCCTTTGATGTCTGGCTTCTTCTGGCTTCTTTCACGAGGCAAAGTATTTTCATGGTTTATCCATGATATAAGCACATATTCTTTCTTATCAAGGCTGAATTATGTTTTATTGTACGATATACCACATTTTTATCCATTCATCAGTTGATGGACACTTGGGTTGTCCCCACTTTTTGGCTATTGTGAATAATGCTGCCATGAACATTTGTGTACACATTTTGTGAGGACGTGTTTTGATTTCTCTCAAGTATATACTAGAAGTGGAATTGCTGGGTCTCAAATGGTAATTCTATGTTTAACCTTTTGAGGGACTGCCTGTTTTCCAAAGCAGCTGCACCATTTTACATTCACACCAGCAGGATATGAGGGAATTTCTCTGCATCCTTGTTAATACTTGTTATTATCTCTTTTTTATTTTATTCATTCCAGTGGTATAAAGTGGTGTCTCTTTGTGGTTTTGAGTTCCATTTTTCTAGTGGCTAATGGCATTGAACATCTTCATGTGCTTATTAGCCACTTGTATATCTTTTTTATAAGTCTCTTATCAGATGTGTGATTTGCAAATATTTTCTCCTGATCTGTGGTTTATCTTCTTCATGGTTTCCTTTGGAGCACAAAAGTTTTTAATTTTGATGAAGTCCAGTTTATTTTTCTCTTACTGCTTATCCTTTGGGATCTTGTCTGGGAATCTCTCACGAGATGCAAGGTCACAAAGATTTACCCCTATATTTTCTTTCAAGTTTTAGTGTTTCAGCTTTTACATTTGTACCCGTGATCCTCTTAAGTTCATTTTGTATATAGCAATAATTTAGGGTCCAACTTCATTCTATTACCTGTGGATATCCAGTGGTCCTAGTACCATTTGTTGAAAAGACTGTTCTTTCCCCATTGATCACATAGCTTTTTATATGTCATACGCAATAAAATTTACATTAATAATAAATATGTTTGCCCAAAACAGGCACTCTCCTCTCTTAGTAGTGGATGTGTAATGGGCATTACTTTTTTGATAGGCACTCTTATCCCCTATGTGCCAAAATCCTTCAGAATGTTGCTGGCTGTTGCCTTGCAGGCCCAGGGACCAGAAACCCAGATATTAGATATTCCTAGGGCTGCCATAACAATTACCACATACTTGGTAGCTTAAGACAACAGCAATTTATTCTTTCACAGTCCCTGAGGGCTAGGGTTCTAAAATCCAGGAGTCAGCAGGACCCTGTTTCTTCCGAAGGCTCTAGGGGAGAAGCCTTCTATGCCTCTTCCAGCTTGTGGTCGCCCTGGCATTCCTTGGCTTGTGGCCCCATCATTCCACTCTCTGCCTCCATCTTTACATGGCCTCTACCCTGTGCCTCTGTGTGGCCTTTCTGTCTCTCCTAAGGTCACCCTCATTGGATTTTGAGCCCACCCTAACACAGGATGAACTCATCTTGCTTGATTCTTAAGTAATAACATCTGCAAAGATTTTATTTTCAAATAAAATAACATTCCGAGGTTCCATTTGGATATTTTGTGGAACAGTATTTTTTGTTTTTTAATCTTCACCCAAAGATATTTTTTCCATTGATTTTGAGAGAGAGGAAGGGAGGGAGAGGGGGAGAAAGAGAGAGAGAAGCATCACTGTGAAAGAAACACATTGATTGGATGCCTCCCACATGCGCCCCAACCAGGGCCGGAATTAGACCTGTAACCCAGATATGTGCCCTTGACCGAAATTGAACTTGTGTCTCTGGTGCTCGGGCCGATGCTCCAACCAGGGCGGGGGACAGTATTTCACCTACCCCACTGGGCCTGCAGTACATGCCCTCCCCTGTGCTGACCTTCTTTCAGTCCCTCCTGCCTGCCACAAGCCCTCCATACTGTTCCTGTGGCCTGGATGTCTTTTCCTCCCCCCACCCTTCAGTTCTCAGCTCTGTGCCACCTCTTCTAGGAAGCTCCTGAACCTCTAAGCAGGACAGGTCTGCTCCACAATCAGAGCACCACTCACCCTTCTTCCTGGCACTTGACCCACGTTTGTGGGAAGTCTGTCTGATTCTGTTCAGTGCTGTCCTCTGTGCTAGGCCCCCTGCCCATTTCATAGTCACAGCTGATAAATGAGAGACGAATGACCAGCACATCCCTTTGAGTCCAGCCCCCCTCTCTTTATGATTCCAAGCTCCCCTGGAAACCTGGCTTCCCTTCCCTTTGTTTTAAACATGCAAATTACTTATTCAGAATGAATAAATCGGGATCATTTTAAAATTAACATTGTACGCGTTGATGTCCTTCAATTCAACAGCTTCACTTCTGTAATCTGTATAGAAAAGACAGATGTCAGTCATGCCATTATGTAGAGTAGTCACACTTGCCCCAAATAGTGGAAATAACCCAAATGCCCATGAACAATTATGGCCCTTTTTGCAATAAAATACTTAACAGGCATTAAAAATTATGTTGCAGAAAAGCGACAGGAAATGCATCCAGGATATAGTAAGCATAAACATGAGTCATGGTGTGGTACGTGGATACAGTTCCATGCTGTCTCAGTTGTGCACATGTACGTGGGAAGGGCAAGGAGATCTTGGAGCTGGATGGTGGTGGTGGCTGCACACAATGTGAATGTACCTAATGCCACTGAGCTGCGCACTTAAAACCGTTTCACCCCAAACTTTAAAAAAAGATGCAGCGGGTCCAGAGAAGTGTTAATAGTGTCACCTCTGGGTGGAGGGATACAGGAGTCCATTACACGGGAGTGAAAATACTACTCTTTAATTTTTAAAGTACAACCCTCTGTTTGTGAAGGACAGGCGTGGGTGGGGTGTGCTCTGGCCTTTCGTGGCCTTTTGGAGCCTTTGAGAGCCCTGGTGTGTGTCCTGCCCCAGCCAGAACCCATGGGTTTGCGCCGCGGCCTCTGCTTGTCAACCTCGGTGCTGGCTGTCCTATTTTACCACTATTGACCCTGAAGGCCATCGAGGAGGGCACGCTGGAGGAGATCGAAGAGGAGGTTCGGCAGAAGAAATCATCGCGAAAACGCAAGCGGGACAGCGACGCCGGCTCCTCCACCCCGACCACCAGCACCCGTAGCCGCGACAAGGACGAGGAGAGCAAGAAGCAAAAAAAGCGTGGGCGGCCACCTGCTGAGAAGCTCTCCCCCAACCCGCCCAACCTCACCAAAAAGATGAAAAAGATTGTGGACGCTGTCATCAAGTATAAGGACAGGTAAGCTGAGGAATGGGGTGGGTGGGTGGATGCTGTGGGTCCTCAGGTGCCTTTCCTGGCCTCCCATGTGCCTGTGAGACCATTCCACAGTCATTGGTTAAACAAGGAACAGACAAGTGGTGTCAGCATGGGGAGAGGGAAATAGTGTGGTGGGGAGGCCAAGAAGCCCTGATGGAAGGAGGTCTGGGGGTGAGTTCTCCAGCAGAGGCAACAGCAGGTGGAGAGGCCCCAGGACGATGAGGTGTGGCTGGTGAGATTGAGGTTAGTGAGGAGGCGAGGTGGAAGGAGAGGAGTTTGGTGCTGTGATGGGTGCCAATCTCATGGCTGGCACTCATGACTATGGTGGAAGCCAGAGTTGCTGGAGCAGAAATGGTTTCTGTTCCTTCTGTAGACTACCCCCATCCTCACTGCCCTGTCCACATACTTGCATGACAAGCCCAGTTTTCATGCTGGGTCATTGGAGGTCCGCCATGTGTTGGCTGGCTGCTCCAGGCACTGTGAGCCCTGCCCTCACAGGCACCAAATACAAGAGAGTATGTGTTTTCAGCTTCAGTGGATCTGTTTGTGGAGCACAAGTACCATTTAAATAATAATAAGAAAATAATGGTTCTCCTGCAGCCCTCCAAGGAGAATGTGCACATTCTGCCAGTGCAGGGTGGGCATGCGGAGCTGCAGAAGGTGGCCAGGGGTACACGGCCTGCACCTTGCCCAGAACTCTGTCTGTGCTCCCACTCTCCAGTGTCTTACTCCACTTCCTGGTACATACCCGCCCATATGACTCTCTCCATAACAAGGGTTGTACAGCTCGATTTTATAGTAATACTTTGCAGGTAGTCGTGAAGCAAAGTAAGGGAGAATTTTAATCTGTAGCAGTGGAAAATGTCAAGGTGTGAGCCATTAGCACATCATTTAGAGAGATTCTTACCAAGCGTGACATTTTGGGGGTGGTGATGACTGGTATCCAAATAAAAAATACAAATTGACCTTTAAAAAGAATCTTACTCTCTGGCCGGTTTTCTCAGTGGTTAGAGCATTAGCATGGAACAGTCCTGGGTTCCATTCCATTCAAGGGCACATATCTGGGTTGCAGGTTTGATTACCAGCCCCAGTTGGGGTGCATGCGGGAGGCAACCAATTGATGTGTCTCTCTCACTTCGGTTTCTCTTTCTCTCCCTCTCCCTCTCCCTCTCCCCCCCCCCCCCCCCCCCCCCCCCCCCCCCCCCCACTCTCTCTAAAACACCAATGAAAAAATACCAAGTGAGGATTAACAACAAAAAATACCTTATCATAGCCCTGGCTGGTGTGGCTCATTTGAGTGTCGCCCCCATGTACAGAAAGGTCGCCGGTTGGATTCCCGATCAGGGCACATACCAGGTTGCAGGTTCGGTCCCCAGTTGGGGTGCCTACAGGAGGCAGCCGATTGATGTTTCTCTCTCATATAAGTGTTTCTCTATTTTCTTCTTCCTCCTCTTTAAAAATCAATAAAAACTTTTTTTAAAAAAAGAATCTTATTATCAAAGAGGAACAAATGATGAACTAAAAGGCATATTCGAGTTCATCTGCTCGACCTAAAAATGTAATTAGTGTCAATATTGAGAAGAAAATATTGATGCTAATTTGCTAACTTGACCTTTGAGGGAAACTCCACAAAGAAAAATGTAAAAGGTGAAATATGGAATGTGTAAAAACCCAATGAAAACAGTAGACTCCACCCTTCCCAGTGATTCAGTTGATTGGAACATCATCCTGTGCACCAAAAGGTTGTAGATTGGACTTCTGGTCAGGGCACCTGCCTAGGTTGCGGGCTCAATCCCCAGTTAGGGTGCATGCAGGAGGCAGCCAATCAATGACAAAGGACATATCCTAGGGTGAGGATTAAAAAGATTCTCTCTAAAAAAACAGTAGAGCCCATGTTTTTTCCTTAATGATGTTCTTGTGAGGGAAACTTAAAATTACCAAAATGAAGAAGACCCTTGAAGGTCAGTGGGGCAAGGATGGACTTTATGGAAAGTCATGCTGGCCTTTTGGATATCCATGCGGAGAAGAACCTTGATGCTGCCTCACATTATATACATATATTAGTTTAAAATAGATAATAGATATAAATGTGAAGGGTACAGTTCTAGAAGGCATGGGAGAAACTCTTCGTGGCCTTGAAGTAGGCAGACTTCCTCAACAGAACACAAATGCCACCACCCATTAAAGACTTCACTAACAGTAAGAACAACTGTTCATCAAAAAACACACTGCCCAGCGGGTATGGCTCAGTGGTTGAGTATTGACCCATGAACCAAGAGGTTGCTGGTTTGATAGCTGGTCAGAGCACATGCCCGGGGTTTCAGGCTCGATCCCCAGTTGGGGGCGTGCTGGAGGCAGCCGAGGATGATGTTTCTCTCGTTAATGTTTCTATCTCTATCCCTCTTTCTCTCTCTCTAATTATCAATAAAAACATTTTTTAAAAAAGATACACTCACGATGATAGTGAAAACTGCCACAGACTTGGGAAAGAACACCCAATTTTAAAATGGGCAAAAGGCATGAACAGACATCTTCTGGAAGAAGATGTCCCCATGAGCAGTCAGCATATGAAAAGGTGATGGGGATCATTGCATCAACAACATCAAATGAGTGTGAGATGCCTGAACAGAATGGCTACAATTCCTTTGAGTGTATGAAGCAGTTGTACCTCACACTACTCAAGATGACATAAAGTTCAACATAAAGATGAACTTTCTGACCCAGCAACTCCAACCCTGATTATAAGCCCAGGAGACCTGAGTGCATGTCCAGCAAAGACTTGTACAAGCACATCCACAGCAGCTATGATAGTAACTGCCTCCAATGAAGTAGCCCAAATAGTGTCCACCTCCAGGAGAATGTGTTGATGGCCCAATTGTACAGCAGAATTCTAACAGCCACAAAACCAGAAATACCACTGCTCCTTCAATGAATCTTACATTCTGTTGAGTGAAAGAAGCCAGAAACTAATGAGTACCTACTGTGTGCTTCCAGTTATATGAAGTTCAGAAGCTGATCCACAATGATGGGCATTGAATAGTGGTTACCTCAAGATGGGTAATTGGCAGGGAAAGACCATGAGGGAGCTTTCTGGGGTATTGGGAATATTTATCAGTCTGAGTGTATACGTGAAAATGTTCATAAAGGTATATACTTAAGATGTGTGCAGTGTCCTGTATAAAGTTATACCTCAATTTAAAAAAAAACACTTGGAGCCCAGCTGGCGTGGTTTAGTGGTTGAGGATCAACCTATGAACCAGGAAGTTATAGTTCAATTCCTGGTCAGGGCACATGGCCAGGTTGCAGGCTTGATCCCCAGTGTGGGGTGTGGAGGAGACAGCCAATCAGTGATTCTTTCATCATTGATGTTTCTATCTTCCTCTCTGAGATCAATAAAAATATATTTTAAAAAAGAAAGAAAGAAACACTTGGAAATGGCAGCCTGAATTTGTTAATGGGGCGTTAGATATTTTCAAACCGAAACATATCAGTATACTTTCTTAGTCATCCTACAACTCACTGAAAAACCTTTCTCAGTCTCATATTTAGCTGTATATCATGCGCCAAAAAATGGCTTCCACAACAAATAGTTGTTCTCCCACCCTGTGTAAGGTTGGATGAGAAATCAGCCAATAAATGAAAACTAGCTTTTAGGGTTCAGTGACCCCTTGTAAAGACTGTTCTGTTGCAGAATGCTGAGATCCTGGTAGGGATTCTGAGATCCAGTTTGATGCTCCCAGCTGATGTCAGACCCACGTGGCAGGACACCTTATCAGAGGGTATGATGGTTTACATTTAATCTCACATCCCCCTGGTATGCATAGTGTCACAGAACTTGGAGTTCTCCGTTAGACAAGAAAGAACTATAAAGGAGTTACAAGGGGGACTGCAAATGTGACTATTAAAGGAGGCTACCATGCCCTGGCCTTGAGAAGCATTTGGTTCAAATTTGGAGCACGGCCGTCCACTTGCTAGTTTGCTGGTGGTCATACGGGAAGAGATCAAGTGTGCACATAAACTCAGGAAAACAGGCGGTTTTCCTGGTTGAAAAGTTACCTCACTTGGCAGATACTTTCAAAGACGTTTGGGTAGAAAGTTTACCTACTTAATGGATAATATTTCTGATGTTCTTAAAAAACTGAATTTGAAACCATGGGGAAAACAACAACGTGGTTCACCCTGTTGAGGGGTTAAGTGACAATCCATAGACCACCCTCACTTCTGACACCTCTGCAGAGTTCAGGGGTCCCCAAGACCAGCCTCAGGCTTGAGGATTCTCTAGAAAAATCTCAGAGCTCTCTGAAAGGTGTTATACTTGTGATTATAGTTTATTAATTACAGCAAAAGCATACAGATTAAAACCAGCTAAAGGAAGAGGTACATGGAGCAGCATCCAGGAGAGCTCCATGCCTTGAGCTTCCTCGCCCCACGGAGTCCCAGACAGCACTGGCAACATCATGAAACAATAGGCACAGAGCATTGCCAGCTGGGAATCCTTGGTGTCTGGGGTTTTTATTGGAATTTAGTCACATAGACACGACTGACTGCCCATGTGGCAGACATCTCCAGCCCCTCTGTAGGTCGAGCCGATACCATATGACGCAGTGCCCCTGCCCTAAATCACATTCTCAGACTATCTGGGCCCAATGTGCCCATCAGGCAGGACACTCCAGGGGGGTTGAGAGATGGTCTCCCAGGAGCCAAGGGCGAAGGCCATATCTCTCTCGGGGATAATTTTTTTTGCAACTACATGTCACACACTGGGAAGGTTCCAAAGGACTGGTCACTGTGCCACACCAAAGAACTGGGGTGCAATAAAATTGGAGGTTGCCTAACTCGCACTTTCTTGTCTCAAACTTTCAATTGCTCCTTTCCAAAAGAGAAAATGAAACTTTTGGATTTTTTTTTCGTTGCTTTCTAGAACCCTATAATTAGCTAAATTCTATACTTGAGTTCAATCTAGAGCCTGAGGAGAGAATGGT